TCTGTATCCTCCTGTCACGACCTAATACGTCAACTATCCTGCTCCTCTGATGCTGCCTGACCTGCTGTATTCCTCCAGCTCCACACTGTTATCTCTGGCCTATCATGTTCTGCTTTCTACCACTCAGCCAATTCTGGATCCAGTTAACCAAATATCTTTGGATCTCGTGGGTTCTTATTATTGCTGGACCCTATCAAAGGCCATACCGAACTCCCCATAGACTCTGTCAATTGCATTGCCCTCATCCATGTACCTGATCAGCTCTTTGAAAAATTCAATCAAATTGAGCAGACATTACCTACCCTTAACAAAACCATCCCAATTTCTTGATTAGTCTGTCCCTCAGCATTGCTTCCAATAGCTTTCTCCACCACTGAAGTTAGACTGACTGGCCTGTAGTTTCCTGGTTTATCCCTTTCTCCCTTCTTGAATTACAATACCACATTGATTGTCCTCTGGCATCTCTCCTGGAGCCAGAGAAGAATCGAACCTTATTAGTGGGTGGTCACTGAGAGAACTTTGGACACCATGGCCTGCCTTTCATAGGAGAGCTGTTTGTAAAACCCACCCTGGAGAAGCTGAGCAAAGCTACTGACTTGTTCACTAAGAGCAAAACTGATGATACTGTATTGCCTGAACTCATCAAATTTGGGAAACTGGCACTCTTGCAGCAGCTGCAAGACGCTTGCTTATTTCTGCTGGAGGGCAGGTAGTGTCAGTGCTGATAGTGGCGCAAAAATTGTGACCTTGAATAAAGGTGACTGCAGTGATTGCAACAAGTATTGATGCATAGAACCTTTTACAGCATGGCCCTTCACCTCATCATGAGTATGCTGGTCATTAATCACCCATCTATTTTAGTTCCATTTACCAGCACTTACCCTGTGACTTTTTATGCCATGACATTTCACGTGTTCATCTAAACGGTTCTTAAAAGTCTTGAGGGTTCCTGACTCTGTCACCCTTTTAAGTAAATACTCAGAACTTGGGTGAAAGGTATTTTTCCTAATATTCATTCTGCATTTCCTTCTTACCTTAAAACTTTACCTTTGGCTATTGATCCCTCTACTGGTGAAATATTTGCCTATTTTGCCCTCTTACAATGCAGATTATGGCTGAATGAATCCCCCCGATTCCCAGTCTAGTTTCCGAACTGGAAGATCCACAACTGACATGATCTTCTTAGTCCAGCAGCTGTAAGATAAATCCTGTGAACAAAGGGAGATTTTGGAGAAAACAGACTGAGCATCTTCAGTGGTTAGTGTAACCTCTTTCCATGACAGCATGATGGGTATGGTCAGCTGTGACAACAACATTAGAATGTTTTGAGTTCTGCAGTGGGTTTAAACAAGGTTGTGTTCTGCTGCTGACATCCTTTGGCATTTTACTGCTATCATATGCCCTCATTTCATCTACAGACGGTGTCAAGCAAAACAGAAAGCTGCCAACTTTACTTTCCAAGATCTAAGACAAAGATGCACCAAGTCTTCACCAGAGAATTGCTGTTTGCAGATGATGCCCCACTCATGTTCCGCACTTAGGAATACCTCTTGTAACAAATAGACAGATTTTTCATGCCTGTTGAGAGTTTGGTTTGATCGTCTGCATCAGGAAGAGAAGTACCATGGCCAGGGATGTTGCTGTACCTATTAGCATTGGGGCTGATGTTGAAGGTTGTTGCTAGTTTCATGTACTTAGGCTCCACAGTCACGAGCAGTGTGTCACTTGATGCTCGATCACCTTATGCATTTCAAAACTGTAGCTGTTACTACATCCAACCTGAGTAAGAGAGTGGAATACAGCAACTTGCTGAGAATCTATCAAACCTATGTCCTAGTGCACTGTCTAAAGTGATGACATCTGGAGAATACATACTTGGGAGAAGAAAAGACTGAACAGTTTCCACCTTCACTATCTCAGATTTATCCTCGGCTCCCCTTGACAAGACAAGATTACCAATTCAGAGATGCCAGAGTATGCTGATTTTGTCAGCATTCACTCAGTACTGATTCAGTGACACCTGCACTGACCTGACCATTTCTGTTAGATGCTTGATGGTCATGTACCCAAAGACTTGCTGTTTAGTGAACTGGCACTGGTCATGACCTCCTGGAAGTCCATACCATTGTACAAGGGCACCTACTGACAGCTGGGTGACGTTCTCTGATGGCTTTCACCTCTGGGGGTTCACTGTTTGGAAGTGCATTAGAATAGGGGAGCAGGAATGGAAGCTAAATTGGTCGAGAAGAGGACCCAAGGAAAGCAGGTCAGTGAATCATGCATCTTCTCGGTCTACTGAGAGAGTCCAACCTACATATCAGTGAAGTCCTAGGTTTAATCAGGAGGCAAGATCCACATTCTGCCAGCAAAGTTGCTGCATAACTTGTACTTTGTTACTGAATAAAAGTTTCCTGAATTACATCATCAGACTCTCCTATTTCCTGAATAGCTAATATTTCAAAAGACCAACAGATATTAGGTGAGCACAGACTCCCAAAGAGAGTTTAACATGTCCAAAAATGTTTTTTTGCATTCATACTTGAGATGTGGGAGTTGCTGACTAAGCCAGCATTTATTGTCCATCCATTATTACTTGGGAGATGTTGGTGCCCTTAACATCAGTTGCCCTCTTGAACTTTGGGTACAGCAACACCCACAGTGTTGTTAGGAAGGGACTATTGGGATTTTGACCCAGGGACAGTGTAGGAATAGCAGTATATTTCCCAAGTCAGGATGTTGTATGGTTTGGAGGGGACTTTGCATTTGGTGATGGTTCCCGTTATCTACTGCCCTCCAGGTGGTAGGGTTTGTGGGTTTGGAAGGTGCTGTCAGAGCAGCTTTGGTGAGTTGCTGCAGTGCGTCTTGTAGATGGGGGACACTGCTGGCACTGTACATCAATGATGAAGGTTGTGGATAGAGTGCCAAACAAGCATGCTGCTTTGACACTCCTGAACATTACCATGCTCCTTGAGTGTTGTTGGATCTGCACTAATCCAGGCAAGTGGAGCATATTCCATGATACTTCTGACTTGTGCCTTGTAGATAGTGGACCATCTCTTTGGGGAGACAAAAGATGTGTTACTTACCACAGAATTCCTAGACTCGGACCTGTTGTTGGACCTACAGTATTTATATGGCTGATCCAGGCCATTTTCTGGCCATTGATAACCTTAGTGGTGTTGACTTTGGGGGATTCAGCAATTGTAGTGTAATTTAACATAAAGGAGAGGATGATTGAATTTTCTTTTGGAGATGGTATTGCTTGACAGATGTGTGGAGCAAATATTACTTGCCCTTCAGCCCAGGTTTCATAGAATCCCTATATTATAGAAACAGGCCATTCGGCCCAACAAGTCCACACCACCCTTCCGAAGAGCATCCCACCCAGACCCATTCCCCTACCCCTGCATTTCCCATGTCTAACCCACCTAACCTAAACATCCGTGGACACTATGGTCAATTTAGCATGGCCAGTTTGCCTAACCTGCACATCGTTGGACTTCGGGAGGAAGCTGGAGCACCCAGAGGAAACCCACACAGACACGGGAAGAATGTGCAAACTCCTACACAGACAGTCACCCGAGGCTGGAATCGAACCCAGGTCCCTGGTGCTGTGAGGTAGCAGTGCTAACCAGTGAGCCACCGTGCCACCGTTCAAAGTGACCTAGGTCTTGCTGCATGTGACCATGAACTGATTCAGTATCTGAGTCGTCATGATTGGTGCCGAACATTGTGTGATCATCAGTGAACATCCCCACTGTTGATCTTATGAAGTGTTAAAGTCATTGATGAAATAACAAAAGATGATTGGCTGTACATTAATGTCCTGGGGTTAAGATGATTAACCTCTAAAGAGTGCAGCCATCTTCTTATGTGCCAAGTATGATTCTGACCAGCAGAGCATTTTCCCTCAATTTCAACTGACGCCAGTTTTCCTGGAGCTCCTTGATGCCACACTCTGTCAAATTCATCTTGATATTAAGGGTAGTCTTTCTCATCTCACCTTTAGGAGTGAGCTGTTTTGCCCATGTTTGAACCAAAGCTGTAATGAAGTCAGGAGCTGCATGGCCTTTACAAAACATAAACTGAGCATCAGTGAGCAGGTTGTTCCTTCCCAAGTGATGCTTGATAGCATTGTCAATGCCACCTTCCATGACTGAGAGTAGACTTATGGAGCGGTAATTAACTGGGTTTGATTTATCCTGTGCTTTGTGTACAGGATGTACCTGGGCAGTTTTCCACGTTTTCAGACAGGTGCCAATGTTGTAGTTGTACTGTTTAGATTGGGGCGTGGCTTGTTCTACAACTTATCTACAGTACAGTTGCCAAAATGTTGTCAGGGTCCATAGCCTTTGTGGTGACCATTATCTTCAGCTGTTGCTTGATATCATGTGGAGTTAATCAGATTGGTTGAACACCAGAATCTGGTGCTGGGGACCAGAGGCCGAGATGGATAACCATTCGACAATTCTGGCTGAAGATTGATGCAAATGCTTCAGCTAAATACACATACTACATTGGTTCCTGATCCCACTAAGCATTCATCTGTTTCACCCCTACATTCTGGAGCTTCTTCTCAGACTCTCTCCACCTCCCTCTGCTTGTTCATGACGCCATTGAACTTGGCACTGACCAAGATTTTGATCATCCCTCAATACCTATGCTTTTGACTTTGTGCAGCTATGAAGCAATGAGGAAAACATTTTGGGATAATTTCATGTACTCAATGTTATATAAATGCAAGTTTTTGTAAACTGTTTATGAGGAGATGTGTTTTGATGATTCTTGTAGTTTCCATTTGAAATCTGGAAGATATCCATCTTGTCATTATTGATAATAAAACAAGTCTTCCATGAGCTAACTAAATATTTTACAAAATGTTTTTGATATGTTTTTTTTTCTCAGTATGCCAATTCTTCACTAATAAAAGCATTTACGATATGTTTTGAACAGATTCATGGCTGTTACAATAAACCGTTGAACATTCTCTTCTTTTCTAGGCAATTGAACACACAGTCCACAGGAGGACAATGGTAATAGCGGATTCTGTGTGTCATATTGCTCAATACCTTCAACATCAGGCCCTGAATTCAATTTCTGTTGCCAAGGTTTGTACATTCAGTTTCTCAGTTTCTGTATCTGCATTTTGTGTGTTTATGGGTTCTATAATTGTGAGGACTGTGCAATGAGTAGATGTTGTGATCAATTTTTCTTGATTGTGTCTGTTTTCTAGTTATACAGGTGACAGTAATAGCTCCTGCTGTGTGAATAAAGTTGTAATTTATATTGGTTTTGATGATCGTAGCCATAGAGTCATACAGCATGGAAATAGCCCCTTCTGGCCCACCTCGTCCACGCCAACCAGATATTCCAATCTGACCTAGTTCCATTTACTAGCATTTGGCTCATATCCCTCTAAACCCTTCCAATTCATATATTCATTCGGGTGCCTTTTATATGTTGTAATTATAGACTCGGCATCACTTTTGTTTTTTTGAGTGGTAGGGGAAGGAAAACTAGGGGGAAGATTTAGGGAAGCTTCCAGCAGTAGCTCCCCAGCATAGAGTTTTAAGAAATGTAATTGTAGCTATTGTGGTAAGACACAACAGCCACAGCTTTGACTAAGCAAACTAAAACTTAATTTAGTGCTTTAAATTTTAACTTTTACAACAATTTTAGTGGTAACAAATGATTGGACTTAGGGTGTGTGTGTGAGAGGAAAAGAGATTTAACTCCACATTAGTTTCCCTGCTGAATTATAGGGATATTTTGCTGACAGTGCTAGCTTGCTTTCATTGCAGATTTAAATTTCAGGAACAGGATTGATCATTTGAAAAATTTTTGATCGTATTGTTCCTTTAGAAAAGAGTAATATCTGAAAGGAAGTACAGTGAGCGACGCCTGGATGTGCTGTCAGCCCTAGTCCTGGCTGAAAATGCTCTCAATGGCCCCAGCACTAAAGAGCGTAAACTCGTAGTCGCACTTGCGTTAAGTGTGGGAACACAAATGGTAAGCACAATGTCCCATATTTTACATAAGAAACATAAGATTATTGTTCCCTTGTATTGCATGTGTAGCATTTACACTGTGAAAATTATTACATTTAAATTATGATATGAAACTTTATAGGCTGCATTTGCTGACATTGATGAGTATGCACAGTATGCTCTAGGGAGCACATGTGAATGGCAATTATTGAAAAATGTCCATGTGCGCATCTTTATCATTGGGCTGGCTGCCAATATGAAAAATTGTGTTCCTGTGAGTATCTGATGTTTTTGAATTAAGTGGCAGGCCCAGCATGCGATGAGTGGCAATGAGTGCCTTTAATCCCATATCAATTTGGAATTGGTGCTGATCTCCCTCTCCACTCTGAGAATAAAAATGTCATAATTTCTCATATTTAAGACATCCCGTGACATTTTCAGGATGTCTGATGTCGACAAACACTGCCCAAGCCTACAGGTCCATGTCATGCAAGCAGCTTTCTGTTCTTCCCTTTTCCTCTCTCTGTCTGTGCTTCATTTCTACCCCTCTAACCTTTGAAGACAGTTACGAAAGAGTGATAAAGCCTCCTGAAGATGTCCACTGGCTTTCAGTATTTGTGTTGCTGTTTTGTGACACTCCTTTTATGGCCCAATGCTTTAAATTTTAATGTGCACTACCACCTACACCAACAAAAACAAATTGCTGCAAAAACTCAGCAGGTCAGGCAGCATCTATGGAGAGAAAGAGCAAATGTTTTGGGTCCAGTGTCCTATCTTCAGAACTTAGTCCTAATCTGCTTTTTATATTCATTCAAAATCACACTTAAATATTGGTGGCTTTGTTCATTTTGGGTATTTCTGCAGTTATTATCTAACCAAATAAAAATTTAAAAATGTACAAAAGATATTCATTTTAAGATCCGTACAAAGTTGGTTCTAGGCAGGCCCAGAAATGCCATTTAAAAAAAAAACTAATTGTTGAATAATTATTATTGGAGGATTATAATTCACTTTACGAACTGTGCAAATGCAAATTATTATCGAAAAAAATTAAATTAATTTCAAATGATATTCACTATAAATGCCATGCTGCCTCACAGCGCCAGGGACCCGGGTTTGATTCCACCCGTGGGCGACTGCCTGTATGGAGTTTGTACATTCTCCCCGTGTCTGCATGGGTTTCCTCCGGGTGCTCCGGTTTCCTCCCACAATCCAAAGATGTGCAGGGTAGGAGGATTGGCCATGCTAAATTGCCCGTAGTGTGTAGGTTAGAGGAATGGGTCTGGGTGGGATGCTCTGAGGGTCGGTGTGGACTTGTTGGGCCAAAGGGCCTGTTTCCACACTGTAGGGATTCTATGAGCTTCTATGAACTGAAAAAACTTATCAACTGTGTTAAATCGCGTGCCTACTTTCTGTGCATGCATCTTTTAATTCCCTGCAGATGTTGCCATACTGGAAATGGTATGTGATCTTCACGCAATACTTGGTCCTTTCTCCTCTGCATGTGTGTTGCCGATATACTGTGTCAAACCTCCGCATGTATGCGGCTCTTGAGGCTTGCAAATATGTGGTCAGTTGGGCCGTCTGGTGTCACCAAGCACTGCCTACGCTATGTGCTTAAAATAACAAGGTTCTGCAGTACTTGTTTAAATCCTTAAATGCCATAACCTTTTCAATTCCTGCAAAGGAGGTAGATGTTCGCTCTTTCTGTATCTGACAAATCCTGTTTTACTCATTTTGACTCCTGAAGAAAACATTCCGCGATGAAGAATTGCTGGTGTTGCAAATAGTGCTGAAGAAGTTGGACTTGATCAGTGAGCTCAGAGAGAGGTGAGTAAAGCAAAGAGAATACAGTCAAGTAACCAAGACACTTAGGGCCAAGCACCAAATTGTAACCTTTTAATGCTTTTTTGCAGGATTCAAATTCTGTGCAACTGTAACTTCTTGTACTGGCATCGAACTATTTTCCCCATCTATTTGGATGATGTTTATGACAACGCTGTAGATTCTGCGAGAGTACATGTAAGAGCTGCAAATTAATGTTGATAATTGCATAACTGGGCAGCTCAAAAACATGTGTTGCCAGATTAATGTTAATCTATATTAGTTAATTGTTGCATAGTATAAAACATCCAATAAACATACCTAATGGATATCATCCAAAAGATAAGACTATGGTACAGCAATGTAGTAGTTCCGTTAGTGAATTAGACATTCCAAAGAATAAGTTCCCATCTCACCATAACATTTTGACCATTTACAATAAGCTTATAGTTAAAGTAAATATGTAAAAGTGACCATTAAACTATCGGATCGAAGTAAAACTCAACTGGTCCACTGATGTTCTTTCGGAAAGGAAATTTGCCTTTCTTTCTCTGCTTGGCATGTACATGACTTCAATCCCACAAGACTGTTAACTCCAAAGTGCCCTCTGAAGTGATCTGCAAGCCACTCAGATGTATCAAACTGTAACAAAGAATAAGAACACACACAATTGCCATCTCCAAAATGGATAGGAATGACAATACATGCTGGAATTGCTGCAATGCTCATCTGTCAAAAATGAAGAGCTCAAACAAGTATGTTGAAAGCTGTGTAAATTGTTGTACAGGGTGATTATTTGAAATGCCAGGTATATTCGATGAACTTGTGTCACTTTATTGTATCTCATGCAGTCTTGTTGAAATACAACCTACAGGTGCATCAATGTGATGTAATAATCTATTTTGAAACCTATTTTAGTACAAAATTCTTCCTGCGAGATGTAATAGTGTAAAAGTGCTATTCCAGGGACGGCAGAACTGTCATAGCGTCATACAGCATGGAAACATACCCTTTGGCGAACCAGTCCATGTTGAACATAATCCCAAACTAAACTAGTCCCGCCTGCCTGCTTCTGGCCTGTATCCCTCCAAATGTCTTTTAAGTGTTGTAACTGTACCCACATCCACCACTTCCTCATTCGTTTCATTTCACTCACGAACCACCCTCTATGTAAAAAAAAAATTTGCCCCTCATCTTTTTATTAAATCTCTGTCCTCTAACCTTAACTGTGCTCCCAGACTTGAAATTCCCCCATCCTAGGGAAAAGACAACTGGCATTAACTCTTCCTATTTTCCTCATTATTTTATAAACTTCCATCTACTTCTAAACCTCCTGCGCACCAGTGGAAAAAGTCCCAACCTACCTAGCCTTTCTTTATAACTTGGACCTTCCGTACTTGGTAACATCCTGGTAAATCTCTTCTGAAACCTCTCCAGCATAATCTCCTTCCTATAACTGGACAAAAAAGATTAAGGAAACTAGGGATATATTCTGTATGCTTTTGAAGAATGGGAGGTGAAACTTACAATCTACTTAGTGATAAACATGGTAGATGTGGTTAAGATGTTTCTGCTGATTCAGGAGTCTTGAACCAGGGGACACCATTAATAATGAGGGATGCCACTTCGGTCCAAAATAAAAACCTTTTGTTTTATATTCACTCATGCAATGTGGGTATTGCGGCTAAGCCACTATTCATTTCCTGTCCCTAGTTGTCCTTGAGAAGGTGGTGGTGAGCTGCCTCCTTGGACTGTTACAGTCCTTGAGCTGTAGGTAGATCCACAATGATGTTGGAGGGAGAGTCAAAGATTTTGACCCAACGATACTAAGGAACTGGCAATTTATTTCCAAGTCAGGATGGTGAGTGCCTTACAGGGGAACTTACAGGGGGTAATGTTCTCATGTATCTGTTGCCCTTATCTTTCTGGATGGAAAGATTTCGAAGGTGCTTTCTAAAGGAGCTTTGGTGAATTTGTACAGTGCATGTTTGTAGATGGTACACTGCTGCTATTCAGTGTCGGTGGTAAGGGAAATTGGTATTTGTGGATATGATGCCAATCAAGCAGCCTGCTTTGTACTGGGCGGTGTCAAGCTTGTTGATTGTTGGAGCTGCACTTGGCCAGGCAAGTGGGGAGTAATCTGTTACATTCTTTGTGTCATGTAGAAGCTTTGGAGAATGACTGAATAAATCAGGAGATGAGTTACTCACTGCAGGATTCCTAGCCTCTGACCAGTAGCCACATATTTCTGGTCAGTGGTAATCCTCACGATGTTGGTATTGGGGCATTCAGTGTTGGTAATACCATTGAATGACGATGGTTAGATTCTCTCTTACTGGAGGTAGTCAATGCCTGTGTAGCTCAAATGTTACTTGCCACTTTTCAGCTTAAGCCTGGATATTGTCCAGGTCTCCCTGCATTTGCATGTGGACTGCTTCAGTATGTGAGGAACCGCAAATGGTACTAAACATGGTGCGAACATATCTACTTCTGACGTTACGGTGGAGGGGAGGTCATTGATAAAGCAGCTGAAGATGGTTGGGCCTAGGACACTACGCAGAGATGTCCTGGAGCTGAAATGACCAATCTCCAACAACCATTACCATCTTCCTTTGTGCCAGGTATAACTCGAACCAGAGGAGAGTTTGCCCCCGGTACTCATTGATTCCAGTTTTGCTAGGGCTCCTTGATGTTACACTTAGTCAAATATGGCCTTGCTATCAAGTTACTCTTGCCTCCCATTTGGAATTCACCTCTTTCATCCATGTTTGAACCAAGGCTGTAATGAGGTCAGGAGCTGTGTGGCCCTTGTGGAACCCAAACTGGGTGTCGCTGAGCAGGTGCTGCTGAATGGCACTGTTGATGACCCCTTGCACCACTTTCCTGATCAAGAGTAGACTGTTGGGACAGTAATGGGCTCGGTTGAATTTGTCCTGGTTTGCATACCTGAGCAATTTTCCACATTGGGTAAATCCCAGTGTTGTAGCTGCACTGGAACAGCATGGCTAGATGTGCAGCACATTCTGGAGCACAAGTCTTTAGCACTATTGCCAGAATGTTGTCAATGCCCTTAGCTTTTCAGTATCCAGTGCCTCCAGCTGTTCCTTGACATCACGTGCAGAAATTTGAACTGGCTGAATACTGGCATCTATGATGCTGAGGATCTCTGGTGGATATTGAGATGGATCTTATACCTGGCACTTCTGATAGAAGATTATTGCGAATAATTCAGACTTGCTTTTGCATTGATTTTTAGGCTCTCCCATCAACGAGGATGGGAATATTTGTGGAGCTACATCCTCCAGTGAGTTATTTTAATTGTCCTCCACTGTTCGTTAAACCTGGTAGGACTGCAAAGCTTAGATCTGTTGGTTGTGGGATTGCTTGGCCTTTTCTATCACTTGCCGCTTATGCTGTTTGGCATGCAAGTAGTCCTGTATTATAGCTTCACCAGATTGACACCTCGTTTTTAGGTGTTCCTGATGCTTTTCCTGGCATGCCCTCCTGCATTCTCCACTTGAACCAGGATTGATCCTATGGCTTGATGGAGGGGGTTATGCTAGGCCATAGGGTTGCAAATTGATGGCCCGGAGCACTCAAGGATGCCCAGTTTTGAGTTACCAGACCTGTTTGAAGTCTGTCCCGTTCAGCACAGTGATAGTGTAACGCAACACAATTTAAGGTGTTCTTATTGTGATGGCAGGACTTTGTCTCCATAGAACTATGCAGTGGTCACTCTTACCAATACTGTCATGAACAAATGCATCTGTGGCAAGCAAATTGGTGAGGATAAGGTCAAGTATCTTTTTCCTCTTGTTGGTTCACTCACCATCTACTGCAGACCCAGTCTCACAACTATTTCCTTTAGGGTTCTGAGCAAGGGTCACCAGACCCGAAACGTTTTTCCTTCACAGATGCTGCCAGACCTGCTGGGCTTTTCCAGCAACTGTTTTTTTTTATTATCTTTAGGACCTGACTAGCTCGGTCATACAGCTGTCGAGCCACATTCTGTGGTGGACATTGATGACCCCATCCAGAATACATTCTGTACCTTTGCTACCCTCAGTGCTTTCTCTAAGTGTTGTCAACATTTGAAAGTACTGATTCATCTGCCGAGGGAGGATGGTATGTTGTTAGCAGGATTGCTCATGTTTGACCTGGTTCCATGAATCAACTCTCTCCTGATCATTTATCACTGTGCTGCCTCCTCTTTTAGGTCTGTCATGCAGGTGGGACAGAACATACCCAGGGATGGCAATGGTGGTGTCTGAGATATTGAAAAGTCTGAATCTGTGACTATGAATATGTCAGACTGATATTGAAAAGTCTGAATCTGTGACTATGAATATGTCAGACTATTGCACATCTGTGAGACAACTCTCTAATGTTTGGCACTAGCCCTCAGATGTTAGTTAGAAGGACTGCAGAGCCAATAGGATTGTTTTAGCCACTATCATTTCCGGTGCCATTGGTTGATGCCAGGACCATCCAGTTTCATTTTAGCTTTTGAGACTTGCAGTTGTTACAACTGAGTGGCTTACTTGGTCATTTCAGATGGCAATTAAGAATTAACCACATTGCTGTGGGGTCTGTAGACACATGTAGGCCAGACCAGTCGAGGATGCTGTGTCCTGTATTTTCAGTCAGAAGTCACATGACACCAGGTTATAATCCAACAGGTTAACCTGATGGACTATAACCTGGTATCGTGTGACTTTGTCCACCCCAGTCCAACACTGGCATCTCCACAGCTTGTATTTTCAAAGTAGTAGAAGCCAGAATTAATATTTCTTGGACCAACACCTTCCAGATTAAATCGAATGAAGACTAATGATTAAGGTGAAGATTAATGACTACTGAAGAAGGGTCTAGACCCGAAACGTCAGCTTTCCTGCTCCTCTGATGCTGCTTGGCCTGCTGTGTTCATCCAGCTCTACACCTTGTTATCTCAGATTCTCCAGCATCGGCAGTCCCCACTATCTCTAATGATTTGAAAACATGCTTTTTAAATGGACTGGATCTTGTCTATGACCAGGATTAAATGTATTATATGTCAGACAAGTATGTGGTGCTACTTGGAATATATAAGACTGAAAATATATTTGTTGTAAAATGATAATTAAGGTATGTTTGTTTTGGTATAATTTGCTATTTCACTTTTTCAGTACATGTTCAGCGCTCTGAGGGATTGTGTCCCACCTATGATGCATGCAAGACATCTGGAGTCCACCCAAGTATTGCTGGAATCCTTTGATAAAGAAATCATGGATGTGCTGAATGAGGTAACTGGTATCAAAGCAAATAAAAGACATCCTTGTTTGCATTGGTATAGGGATGTATTTAGAATGAATTATTATGCCTTAAAGTTTTAGCCAGCCCAGATCTTTGTGTATTTAAATACAAAACCCCAGGTTTGTCTCAGGAAACTATGAAGTGAAGGGCTTCCAAGTTTTGTTTAGCTTTTGCCAAATAAGACTTGAATTCTGTAAAGCAGTCCATGTGCACGTAAGAACGTGATCATCCTAACAATTCTTTAGGAAGTTGGATTGAGTTTGAGGAGTCATTGATGGAGTATAAATGTGTGTTTAAAACAAAAACATAATAATTTACTAAGAAAGGACCATTTGCCCAATTCTTTGTATTATTTCTGTAGGACCATTCCCCACTGTACCTCATAATCCAACAAGATTACTGCTTCAAATGCATAACCAGTTTCCTTATGAAACTATCCATCATCTCTTGATTCCACCACCTTTGTAGACAATGAGTTCCAGGTCACTACCAATTAATGAAGAAGAAATGCCATTCCTCACAAGCGCCGTGAGCCTCATGCCCAAAACTCTAAATATGTGTATTTTAGACCTTGTAGCACCAGTTAGTGGAAATAGTTTTTCTCTCTCTACCTTACTGAAACCTGACATAATCTTCTACACCTGTACCAATCTTTGGTCCAAGGAGATCAACCCCAGCTACTCAAACCCTCTACCTGGCACAGTTCTGATAATCTTCCTATGCATCTCTCAAGGAATCTCACTTCCTTCGTAAAGTCTAGTGAAACGATTTCAGCATAACTTGCTTAAACTTGTACTCAACATCTTTGAAAGTCCCAAATGATTTTTTAATCACTCCTTCAATAAATCCTGCCACCTTCATGAACGTGAATTCTTGGATATCTTTATTGTTACATATACTTTGTGCTGTTTTAAGTCTTTGTTACCTCTATTCCTTCTTCCAAAATCCATCACCTCGCACTTCATTATTCTAAGTTCTATTTGTCACTTATCTGCCCATTCTGCATGCTCACCTTTGTACTGTTGCAGTTGGTTTGTGTCTTTCTCACTGTTTGCCTCATTTCCCAGTTTGATATTGAGGCAGTTTTTAAAAATGTGTTCTGTATTCACTGTCCAAATTTTTAAATATATTTTATAGATATCGCTTGTTAATTTAAGGTATTAGCATGTTCCAGCTGTAACATTTTCATGATAGCCAGCTGAAGGCGCAACGCATTTTCATTCAGTTACATTCAGACGTTTCATGATAGGTGAATCAGAAATTGACCTGTCATGCCTGTCATTATTTTATGGATTTAGAGGGGTGCTTATGGATGGGTATGAATGGTATCAGTTAGCCAAGCTGGTTTCATCCTGAAAAATAATTTGACTTGTTTTAGCATCCTTTAAGAAAGTTACCTGTGATAATAGTACCACGTTTTGTCTGTCTGGACCTTTTGTTTGGTCAATTTAAGGGGAATGTCTGATAGGTATGTTTCATGGATGGTTCCTGGTACAGGCAGAGGGTTTGTGTTTGTGGCTGGGAAGTTTCATACATTAGCTGTTCAAATTGCATTTCTCCTCTGGGTCCCTCATCCTTCCTTCTCTCCAACAGCACCTTTTGGATAAACTGTGTAAAGAGATTGAGAAGGATCTGAGACTGTCTGTGCACACACATTTAAAATTGGATGATCGGAATCCATTCAAAGTTGGCATCAAAGACTTGACAGATTTCTTCTCTATCAAACCAATCCGTTTCTTTAACCGATTCATTGACGTCAAAGGTTAGCTTCTGTTCAAATTGTGGCTGTTCATTAAACACTACTTTATATAGTTAGCCACAGATATGTCAAATTTTTTAAAAAATCTGCGTAAATATTTAACAGCATATGTAACTCACTATCTGGACAAGACCTTCTATAACCTGACAACAGTGGCTATTCACGACTGGGCCACCTATAGTGAAATGAGAAATCTCGCAACCCAGCGCTACAGTCTCTCAATGACAGAGGCACACCTTCCGAGTCAGACCTTGGAGCAGGTAAGTACTGAGGCATTTCCTTGTGTAACGCTTACAGATTGCTTTGTATTGGTGAATGAGATGTATGACTGACCTCTGGCATGAGTGACACCTAGTATTGGTTTGTAACAGTACTACTCTTACGTAATCAAGTACTTTTTTTAATTTTTGGATTTTAATAGTTTACAATGTGATTATTTATTAGAAAATTGAAGGAGTTGCAAAAGAATTGCATCATTCTCCTAACATGACTTCATGTTGTTTTCAGGGATTAGATGTTCTGGAAATCATGCGAAACATTCATGTGTTTGTCTCAAAGTACCTCTATAATCTCAACAATCAGGTACATTTTTAAGAATTGATGACAAATATATTTGAAATGCATAGTGAAAATTTAATTGTCAGAATCAAGTTTTGAATTTAATTTCATTGCATATTATAGATCTTCATCGAACGAACAAGCAACAATAAGCATTTGAATACGATCAACATTAGGCATGTTGCAAACTCAATCCGTACACATGGCACTGGCATTATGAACACAACAGTAAGTGCACTTGTACTTAACTGGATGAATTGTTAATGAAATAGTACTAAAACCTAATATTCTAATTGCATTTTTGACAGTCTTCTCAATCTAAGGTACTTTTTAAATCTTGCATGAACCTTATCTCCAAGTGTCCCTGCTCCTTCACAGGATCTATACTACTTCCACTCAGTGCAATTAGTGCTGGTATTTTTTTCGCTAAAATATATCATGACATTTATTTACACTGAATTCCTCCAGTTAACCCATAGAATCCCTACAGTGCAGATAGAGGCTATTTATCATAGATCATAGAATCCCTGCAGTGTGGATACAGGCCCTTCAGCCCAACAAGTCCACACTGACTCTCACAGCATCCCACCCAGACCCATCCCCCTATAACCCACCTAATCTACACATCCCTGAATGCTGTGGGCAATTTAGCATGGCCAATCCACCTACCCTGCACATCTTTGGACTGTGGGAGGAAACTGGGAGAATGTGCAAACTCCACACAGATAGTCGCCCGAGGGTGGAATCAAACCCGGATGCCTGGCGCTATGAGGCAGCAGTGCTAACCACTGAGCCACCGTGCCGCCCCATTTGGTCCGTTTGAGGCTGCATCCTAATCGTACCCCCACCCCGCCTGGTCCCCGTCCCCATAATCCCATATTTACTTTGGGTAATCCACCTAGCCTACAGATCTTTGGCTGCTACTGGGCAATTTAGCATGCCCAATTCTGATGCTCCTGTGGCTTTAAAAGATTATTTTGTCCTGGTAATTTTTTTTTTTTTTTTTTTGAAGGGCGGTTGTAAGGCAGAGGCACCAAGCAGTCTACAAAACCAAGAGAGTAAACAGGTTATGAAGCATTGGGATTTTTTTTAAAAAATTGGAACATTGGAGGCAGCCTAGCTGGGTATGGCCAGCTCTCTCAGACCAGGCTTTGTAGTCATTTTGTTTTTTACAATTTTAGGTTTAGATTCTGGTGGGCTTAAAAAAATAAAAGCTATCTTATCCCTCTCTTGGTTACAGCTAGAAGCTGGAGTTTCTCTTTGCTGCTGGGTTACCTGTGAGAAAAATCTATTTTTCTAAATTTGCCTTTTTGCCAAAGGGTGTATTTGTGGGATATTACTATATTCGATAAATTAGTAATTGTTACTGTGTCTATTGTTGTGTTAAGTTTTCCACTTGGGTTAAGTTACTCTAAATTTCACTTTGTTTGGTTATATTTTAACTATAGTGTTTAAATAAATTGTGGTTTGCTTAATGGCGAGAGTTTGACCAGTTGCATTGCATCTGGAACATGGTACTTCACATTTGCCTTAAAAATAAGAAAAAGGTAGGGCCTAGACTATCATCTTAAAATATTTTGAGCGGGTCTGGTCTGGTCCATAACAAATTGATCCTGGATGAGCCCCCAATTTGTATTTGCTCGACGCCTCTGCCTTAAAACTTTCTTCAAAAAAAAAACTGGGACAAAATACCTCTTAAAGCCACAACATCTCACAATCCACCTAAACTGCACGTCTTTTTGGATTGTGGAAGGAAACCGCAGAAACTCATGCAAACAGTCACCCAAGGCTAGAATCAAACCCATGTCCTGGTGCTGTGAGGCAGAAATGCTAATCTCTGCCACCATGCAGCCAAATAATCACCATTCCCCCGTATTAATTTCCCTTGTGGTATTGGGTTTCTCTTGCACTTTTGAGTGCTCCTCCCTGTAATGTGATGTTCCTAGCTCTCCCATATGGGACAATACCTTACTGTAATGAGTGTTGGGATTCTGGAGTGTTGCTGCTTGTGGCTTTTGAGAAGTGGTACGTCGCGTCAGTCATGGCTTGTAGCTAGTTTGCATTGTCTGGGCCCTGCTGGTCCATTCGCTTTGCTGGCTGTGAGCATGTGACATCAAGGCCAACAAAAATAACTGGGAAATAGTGAGTCCTGTGAGCAATTAAGAAAGAGAAACTCAGACCTGGTTGAGGGAGAAAGGTCTGAGGGAAACAAAGACTGGAGGAAGTAAGGCTGAGAGAAGTACGAAATGGGGATAGACCGAGCAACCAAATTTCTGATGATAGTAAGAGGATTCATAGAACTAAGAAAAGGCCCTTCAACCCCTCAAGTCTGCACTGACATAACTACCACTAAAGGCATGCTAATCCCGATTTCCTGCATTTGTTCCATGATCTCCTACATCTCAAGCATGTCCCCCCTCAGTCTTCTCTGCTATAGAGAAAACAATCCAAGCCTGTCTAGCCTCACCTTATAGCTCAGTATCCCCATCCCAGGCAACATCCTGGTGAATCCCTCTGTACCCTTTCTAGTGCCATCACATCCTTTGTGTAGTGAGGTTACCAGAATTATACACAGTATTGCAGCTGTGGCCTGACCAACACGCTGTATGACTCCAACATTACCTCCTTGTTCTTGTACTTTATGCCATGACTGATGAAAGCAAGTGTCTCATATGCATTCTTAATTATCCTATTCAAGTGATTTGCCGACTTCAGGGATCTGTGAATAATTACGTCAAAATCCCTCTGTTCCTCTAAGCTGCCCAGTGTCCTACCATTCTTTAAATACTCCCTTGTCTTGTTTCTTCTTCCAAAGTGCATTAGCTTTCTAACCAGCCCATCTATATCTTCCTGTAACCTGCAACCGTCGTCTTTGTTATTAACCACTATCAATCTTGATGTCATTTGCAAATTTACTTAAAATTCCCTCTACTACTACTTCTATATTATTTATGTATATAACAAATAATAAGGGTTCCAGTACTGATCCTCGTGGTACGCTGATAGACACCAGTCTCCAGTCAATCAAACAGCCTTCTACCACCACCCTTCGTGTCCTATGACTAAGGCAGCATCTGATCCATCTCGCCAAGTTTCCCTCCATTCCATGTGCTTTAACCTTCTCAACCAGTCTCCCTTGTGGGATCTTGTCAAAAGCTTTGCTAAAATCCATATAAGCAACATCAACTGAATTTTCCTGATCCACACACTTGATCACATTTTCAAAAAATTCTAACAAATTTGTTAGGCATGACCTCCCTCTGACAAATCCATGCTGACTCTCCCTAATTAACCTATGCCTTTCCAAGTGGGTATTAAATCCTTACCACTGACGTGTGACTCACCTGTCTGTAATTTCCTGGTTCATCTCTACCACCCATCTTAAAAAGTTGAACCACAATAGCCATCCTCCAGTCCACTGGAATTTCCCCTGTGGCCAGAGAGGAATTAAAAATTTATGTCAGAGTCCCTGCAATTTCCTGCGTTTTCCTGCCTTTCCTGCCACAGCAGCCTGGGATGCAGTTCATCTGGGCCGGGGGATTTGTCCTACGTCAAGCTGTGCAAGTTCCGCACAGTCCCTTTTCCTGAATTCTGTACCCATGTTCTCCTCTTCCAGAGTGAAGACTGAAGAGAAGTACTCATTCAACACCCTTCAAATATCCTGCGGCTTCACACACCATTTACCCACTTGGTCCCTTAGGGTCCCTACTCTTTCCCTGGTTAACCTTTCTTCTAATGTATTCATAAAAATCTTTGGATTCACCGTATTCCTGTTCACAAGTCCTTTTTCATGACCCCCTTTTTTTCTCTTATAATTACTTTAAGTTCCCTCCTGCACTTTCTGTGTTCGTCTAGGTCCGTGGCTGAATTGCTCCCTTTGGACTTGCTAAAAACCCTTCTCTTCCTCGTCTAGTCCTGAATTGGCCTAGACATCCAGGGTTTTCTGAACATTTTGCTCCTACATTTCTGTCTAAAGGGTACGTGTTGGTGTTGTACTCTCCCCATCTCCTTTTTGAATGCACCCCGCCCAATTCCTCCACGTACACTTAACTGCAAACAGTCTTCTGTGGCCAGATCCTACATTATTTTAATAAAATCTTCCTTTCCCCAATCCAAACTAAGCAGGCCATCTTTTTCATTGTTAAGAACAAATTTGAACTGTACCATGCTGTGATCACTATCGCGTAAATGATTCCCCACTGCCACATCGGACACTTGTCCAGCTTCTTTGCCCAGATCCAGCACTGGTGCCATTCCTTGAAAAAGGGAAAAGAGAGAGAGAGAAAAGCACAAAACAGGATGGAGAGCAAGAACATAACCATATTTTAAATTGAGAAAGAGCTTGTTTTGTTTTGTGATAGGTGTATTTGTTTTCAGGGAGTTGGAAGGTTTTGTGCTGCTCCCTGAGGACTGGACCTTGATCCTGTTTATATCATCCTGTAATCTAAGACCTTCTTCCTCACTGTCAGCCACCCAGCCAGTCTGTCATCTGCAAACTTATTTATCCCGTATATATCATGAACAATAAGGGATCTTGCACTGATCCCTATGGCATGCCACTGGACACTGGCCTCCAGTCACACAAACAGCCTTTTATTAGCACTCTGTCATAGAGTCATACAGCATGGAAGCAGACCCTTCATTCCAACCAGTCCGTGCCGAACATAACCCCAAACTAAACTAGTCCAACCTGCCTGCTCCTGGCCCATATCCCTCCAACCTTTCCTACTCACCTAAGTGTCTTTTAAACATTTTAACTGTGCCCACATCCACCAACTCAGGAAGTTCATTCCACACATAAACGACCCTCTGTGGGGGGGGGGGAAATATTGCCCCTCATTTTTTTTTACAAATCTCTCTCCTGTTACCTTAAAAATGTGCCCCGGTCTTGAAATCCCCCATCCACTGGAAAAGACACCTACCATTATCCCCATTTATGCCCCATCATGATTTTATAAATCTCTGTGTAAGGTCATCTCTCAACCTCCTACGGTCTAGTGGAAAAAGTCCCAGCCTATCCAGCCTTTCTTTATTACTCAAACCTTCCATACCTGGCAACATCCTGGTAAATCACTTCTGACCATTCTCTACTTTAATAACATCCTTCCTATTACTGGGCAACCAGAACTGGACACAGTACTTCAGAAGAGGTCTTACCAATGTCCTGTACAACCTCAACATGACTCCCCAACTCCTATATTCAAAAGGACCGTTGCCTGCCATGAAGCCAATTTTGGATCCAACTTGTCAAGTTACCCTGTGCTTTTACCTTCTTTATCAGTCTTCCATGGAGTACCTCAGGCTTTGCTGAAATCAATATAAAGTACATCAGCTGCACTACCCTCATCTACACACCTGACCACCTCCTTCAAAAATTCAGCCAGAGTTGCTAGGCCTGACCTTCCTCTAATAAAGCCAGACTGATTATCCCTGATCAAATCAGTCTTCCCTAAATGAGGATTAATTCTCTCTGTCAGAGTTTTCTCTAATAGTTTCCCTATCGCTGATGTGAGGCACCTGGTCTGTAATTCTTTGGTTTATCTCTACCACCCTTCTTGAAAAGTGGAATCACATTAGCTGTACTCCAGTTCTCTAGCACCTCCCTACGGCCAGAGATTAATTAAAAATTTATGTCAGAGCCCCTGTGATTTTTTTTTTTCCCTCATCTCTCGCAGCAGCCTGGATTCAACCCATCTGTATCTGGAGGTTTGTTGACTTTTAAGCCTGCCAAAGCATCCAATGCCTCCTCACTTTCTCTGTCAATCTGCTCGAGAACCTCTCAGTCCCTCTTCCTGAATTTTATATGTACTTCCTCCTCCCAGGTGAAGACACATGTGAAGTACTTGCTTAACACACTACCAATGTCCTCCACCTTTATGCACAGATTGCCCCTTTGGTCTTAATAGGCTCTACTGTTTCCCTTGTTTTCCTCTTCCCCTTGATATTCTATAAGTATATCTTGGGATTCTCCTTAAACTTGCCCTTTTTTCATGCCTCTCTTTGCTCTCCTATTCGCTTTAAGTTGCCCCCTGCAGTTTCTATTCTCCACTAGGGTCTCGTTTCCTTTGTATCTGTTAAACATCTCTCTTTCCTTCTTATACACTCATGAATATTCTGAGGTATCCAGGGCCCTGAGCTTGTTGCTCCTACGTTTCCCCTAAAGTGAGCATGTTGAGCCTATCCACTCTCCAATTCCTTTTTGAATGCCTGCCACTGTTCTGCTGTAGATTTTCCCACAAATAACTGTGTTCACAGGCTATTTTGGCAGTTCCTGTCTCGTTTTAATAAAAATCTGCATTCCCCCAGTCCAAAACCTTTTTTTATTTGCAGACTCTGTTTCCTTTTTCTAACAAAATTAGTATATGGTTTTGTGGTTGCTCTCTCTAAAGTGCTTCCACACTGCCACCTCAAACACCTGTCCAGCTTCATTCCCCAGAATTGGGTCCAGCATTGGGCCTTCCATACATTGCCCTAATATTATTTTTACACACCTCAGTGAATTGCCTACTGACTGATTGTTTGGTAGCCGTTAATACACTACCAGCAATGTGACTGCCACCTTTTTATTCCTAAGCTCCACCCACAAAATTTCGTTGGGAGACCCTTCCAAGATATCATCCCTCCTACTGTAGTAACTGACTTCTTAATGAGTAATGCGATACCATCACCTCTTTTACATCCTCCCCTGTCTCGTCTGAAGGTCCTATACCTTGGAATCTTGACTTGCCAGTCCTGCCCCTCCCTCAACCATGTCTCTCTGATGGCAACAACATCACGATTCTGTGTGTCAATCCACGCCCTTAACGCCTGTCTTTGAGGCCATCCAGCCTCGCAAAACTCCCTTGAGTTCCTTTCTTAAAATCTGCTGTATTGTACTGACACTCTGTGCTGCCTCCTCCTGCTGAACAAGTTTAAACTCCTCCAAACAACACCACTAGCGAACCTACCTGCGAGAATGTTGGCCCATTCTGGTTCTGAGATGCTGCAATGTGTGAACTTGAATATGAAATGTTCCTTTGCTGAATTATTGCTTTTTGTTTTTGTTGATGTTAGTGTTACATTAATGTTCAACTTTAAACTCGCTCATTCAATGTGGATATCTCTGACAAGGCCAGCCTTTGCTGTCCATCCCTTGTTTTCTGGAGAAAATGGTGATGTGTTAAAATGGAATCCCATTGGGAAAATAGCTTGAAGCTTTGCACCTA